GAGAGATCTGAATCGACATAGAAAGAATTCTGATTAATAATTCAAAATAATAAACAAATGATGCAAACATTCAAGATTTCTTGGTTCCATGGTTATTTTTGCTCAGTGACTAAATTTAACATCTTTTAGGATAGCATAAATTGTACAACTTTATTAAATATTAATGAATGAGTGTCAGTTTACAAAATAACAGTACATAAGAAACACTACTCCCAAATAGTTTTCCTCCAGTTTTAAGATAAAACAAAGCTGATAACCTTATGAAATATCGTACTTACATCTTAGGCATTCCTTTGTTTTTTTTTTAGAATTTACAATGCTTTCATCCGAACCAAAATTTAACATTCATTAAATCCTATTATTATTCATAGAATTTCATGAATTCAAATTAGTAAGAATAATTCGCCGGTTGTTATTCCATGTAATTATTATACGAGTTAATTAAATTAATCTAACAGAGTACATTGAAAACACAAAAACCTTAATTTTAACGGTAAAAAATTGATAATTATGAAATTTTAATAGTTGAATTCATGAATCGATGTTACCTAGGCCACCATTGGAAACCTGAAAGCATTAGATAGCCGTTTCGTTCCAGTATGGGACTCTTCACAGGTGGTCTAGCTTAGATCAACTCATCGATTAAACTATTAAAACTATGATCACAAATCACCATCCTGATAATTATGACGTCCATAAACTCTATTACTTTATAGCTGTTTAGAAAATGTAGATGTAGACTTCCTGGTTGGCGACTAAGCGGTTACTGCTATTAGAGTTTAGAGATGTTGATTTATTTGGCTCGATATCGGTAACAATGCATCAGCATTCAAATTATCTTGAGTTTCAATATTTCGTCATACATGCCTTTCCACTTTGCCTATTCGAACCATATTCACATTATTAAGCCTTTTTCATTATCACTGCTACTATTTAATGTTGAAGGCTTATAATATTCATACTATTTGATCGATCTAGTCATGTTAATTTGGTATAATAAATTGAGATAACGCCTATTTATTCCGGGTCTTATGTGCATATGATTCCTTGACTGACTGAGTAACAACTAAACGTCATAATCTAAGCTTCAATAATTGTTTTTTCACGCAACATTAACGTACGACGAATATTCCGTTGAAACATTTTTTTTCATTTTATGAATGAAATCGTAGCTGAATAAAAATGCAATTATACCGCTGTTATGATTTGATAGCTTCAGGCATCATTATTTACTTACATAGATATTTTTGATACCAAGTGATATACTTACTTACTTACTTACTTACGCCTGTTACTCCCAATGGAGCATAGGCCGCTGACCAGCATTCTCCAACCCACTCTGTCCTGGGCCTTCTTTTCTAGTTCCATCCAGTTCTTGTTCATTTTTCTCATGTCTATCTCCATTTCTCGGCGTAATGTGTTCTTTGGTCTTCCTCTTTTCCTTTAGCCTTGAGGATTCCATGTGAGGGCTTGTCTTGTGACGCAGTTGGTTGCTTTCCTCAATGTGTCTCCTATCCACTTCCAGCGCTTCTTCCTCCCCTGGGATCTGGTTTGTTCTCTCCCACAGTAGGTTGTTGCTAATAGTGTCCGGCCAACGGATCTGAAGTATTTTGCGTAGACAACTGTTAATAAACACCTGTATCTTCTGGATGATGGCTTTCGTAGTTCTCCAGGTTTCTGCCCCATACAGTAGAACTGTCTTGACATTTGTATTGAAAATCCTGACCTTGGTGTTGGTTGACAGTTGCTTTGAGTTCCAGATGTTCTTCAGTTGTAAATATGCTGCTCTTGCTTTGCCGATCCGCGCCTTCACATCTGCATCAGATCCACCCTGTTCATCAATGATGCTGCCCAAATATGTAAAGGTTTTTACATCTTCCAAATCTTCTCCGTCAATTGTGATTGGATTGGTGCATGCTGTGTTGTATCGGAGAATCCTGCTTTTCCCTTTGTGTATATTGAGACCTACTGCTGCTGCTACACTGGTCGTCTTCTCCTGCATCTGTTGTTGCGTTTGGGATAGAAGGGCCAGATCGTCTGCGAAGTCTAGATCGTCCAACTGCATCTTAGATGTCCATTGTATCCCGCGCTTCCCTTCAGACGTTGACGTCTTCATGATCCAGTCGATCACCAGGAGAAAGAGAAAGGGTGAGAGTAAGCAACCTTGCCTAACACCGGTCTTCACTTCGAACGACTTTGTCAACTGTCCTCCATGCACGATTTTGCAGTGTAATCCATCATATGAATTCTGTATGATATTGACTATCTTCTGAGGCACGCCGTAGTGTCGAAGAAGTTTCCATAGTGTTGTTCTGTCCACGCTATCAAATGCCTTTTCGTAGTCAATGAAGTTGATGTAGAGTGATGAATTCCATTCAATTGATTGTTCCACAATGATCCGTAGAGTTGCGATTTGGTCTGTACACGATCTATCCTTACGGAATCCTGCCTGTTGGTCACGAAGTTGGGCGTCTACGCAGTCCTTCATCCTGTTTAACAATACCCTGTTGAAGACTTTTCCCGGTATTGAGAGAAGAGTGATGCCCCTGTAGTTATCACACTTGCTGAGATCGCCTTTCTTCGGTATTTTGATCAGAAGTCCTTCTTTCCAGTCTGTTGGTACTTGTTCCTCATCCCAAATCTTATTGAAGAGAATGTGGAGTATCCTTGCAGTTGCCGCTACGTCTGCTTTTAGTGCCTCTGCTGGGATGTTGTCCGGTCCTGCTGCTTTGCCACTCTTGATTTGTCTGATGGCCATGCTGATTTCTTCAATTGTTGGTGGGCCAACATTGATTGGGAGGTCCGTGGGTGCTGCTTCGATGTTGGGTGGGTTCAGTGGAGCTGGTCGATTCAAGAGTTCTTTGAAGTGTTCTACCCACCTGTTTTGTTGCTCTTCAATGTTGGTGATTACCTTGCCTTCCTTGCTTTTCACTGGTCGTTCTGGTTTGCGGCGATTTCCAGAGAGTTTCTTTGTCGTGTCATACAATTGTCTCATGTTTCCTTCTCTTGCAGCCTTTTCCGCCGTCGTTGCTAAATCTTCCACATATTTACGTTTGTCGGTTCTGATGCTCCTCTTCACTTGTTTGTTTATTTCCGTGTATTCAGCTTGTGCCTTGGCTTTTTCTGCTCTTGTTCGGCTGGTATTGATTGCTGCCTTCTTGTTCCTTCTTTCTTGAATCTTATCCAGTGTATCAACAGTGATCCATTCCTTGTGATGGTGCTTCTTGTGACCCAGGACCTCATGACATGTTGAAGTGATTGCCTCTTTGATCCCCTTCCAGTTGCTCTCCACAGTAGTTCCTTCTCCATTGAGTAGATCATGAAAGGCCTGGAACTTGTTGCTGAGGACTATCTTGAATTTGTTGAGTTTGTTAGTATCCTGGAGAAAGGCCGTATTGAACTTTTGTGATATTGTCCGCCCCGTTGTCCAGTGCTTCTTGAGTTTCAATTTCATCTTGGCGACCAGCAAGTGATGATCTGATGCTATATCAGCTCCTCTCTTGGTTCTCACGTCCTCTATAGTCCTCCTGAACGTTTTGTTGATGCAAATATGGTCGATTTGGTTTTGCGTGGTGTGATCCGGTGAAGTCCATGTGGTTTTGTGTATGCGTTTATGTGGGAATATGGTGCCGCCTATGACCAGCTTATTGAAGGCACATAGATTTGCAAATCTCTCACCATTTTCGTTTCTTTCTCCCAGTCCGTGTCGTCCCATGATGTCTTCATATCCAGTGTTGTCCGTTCCAACCTTGGCGTTGAAATCTCCCATCAGAATGGTCAGGTCCTTTGTTGGGCACTTCTCGACGATTGACTGCAGCCTATTGTAGAATTGATCTTTAGCGTCTTCATTGTAGTCGTTGGTAGGCGCATAGCATTGGATGATGTTCATTGAAATACCCTCTTTCTTTGTTTTGAACGAGGCTTTGATGATCCTTGGTCCATGAGATTCCCATCCTATAAGTGCATTTTGCGCTTGTTTGGACAGCATCAATGCAACTCCTTGTGTATGTGGTGCATTTTCTTCTTCATGGCCGGAGTATAACAGGAGCTCTCCTGTAGTTAGTCGTTGTTGTCCAACTTGTGTCCAATGTGTTTCACTGATCCCAAGTACCTCTAGGTTGTATCTTCTCATTTCTGCAGCAATTTGGAAGGCTCTTCCGGTGTCCCACATTGTACGAACATTCCATGTACCTAAATAAATGGTCGCTCTGGTTGTCAGAAGGGGCATCGGCCTCGTAACTTCCGAAGGAATTCGGCTTTCATCATGAGGCGTCATAATTCTTCTAAATGAAGACCTTCTGACTCCCAGGGCAGAGTTTAAAAGGTTTGAATAATTTTTTCTGGTTAGCGTTTTTTTAGCGAGTTAGTTTTTTACGGGATGGGGACGCTAACCCCATGCCCAACCCTCCTCCTTTATCCGGGCTTGGGACCGGCAGTAGCCCCCGGAGGGACTCCAGGCGGAGTTAAGTGATATACTACCTAATATTTATTAACAAATACATAGCTTTTTAAAATTTAAAGTATTACAAACAAATGTTGGTAATATAAGTATTGAAAAACAGAATACAATGAACAGAGTTCAGAATTCTTTACTAACCAAAAGGATTTCAATCAGAAAACATCGATTTTTCAAACCCTCATTAGGTATAAGTGACATTACACACCTAACACTAAATGATGAATCAAAGAATGTAAATCTATTGAGAAATCACAATAAACAATTCATTGTTTACCTAATATGATTTGATTCTATTGTGTCATATTTATATTGTTAATGAAGAAAAGGTTTATTAAATTCTGATAAATCAAATTCTATATAGAAAGTGGCATTTGCTCAGAAGTTTTGTGATTATAACTAACTGCCTAACACTTAACTACATTCTAAAATTTAGTAAATCATGTCAACAAATTTTGTTTTGGAATTTGTTAATAAGTTTTCAACTTTTCTAGACATATAATTTGTGGCTAAATGTATATTTTGTTTTTAAATCCTTTTGAAGGTAGTGATTATAAAATAATCGCAAATGAAACACTGGAAGAATTAGAATGGTGTCTCAAACAATTGGAAAATATTCAGACAAAAAGGCCTGTCTCTGATATGGCTTTTTCAAAAGTGAGTTTGTCAGTGACAAATTATTTAACATGATTATTACCATTTAAAGTAGGCTAATTTTATCGAATATCACAATAAAATAGTTACTTAATTATTGCATTCACTTTGAAGAACATAACAGCATTATGCGACACTCTATTTAAGGACGCATAAAAATATTTTTTATTATTAGTAGTAATTTTGTAGTTCCTAATAATGCTATTACAGTGATTAAAGTCAGAGTATTTAATACGAACGTCAAGACAGTTCAACTGTACGCAGATAAAACTTGAGGAACTACTGCAGCCATCATCAAAAAGTACAAGTATTTATAAACAACTGTTTACATAAGATGCTGAATGTCCGTTGGTCGAACACAATCAGCAACATCCTACTAATATGGGAGGAAACAAACCAGGTTCTAGCTGACGAGGAAGTTAGAAAAAGACGTTGAAAGTGGATAGGACATATATTTAGGAAATCATCAAACTGCATCATGAAGCAAATGCTAACTTGGAATCCTGAAAGAAAACGAAAAAGAGGAAGGCCAAAGAACACACTGCGTCGGGTTTTGGAAGTAGATATGAAAACGATAAATAGCGGCTGGAAATGACTGCCCAGGACAGAGTTGAATGGAGAGTGTTAGTGAGCTCCACATGCTCCTCCACGAGGGGTAACAGGCGTAAGTAGTGAAGTAAGTGTTTGAAGTCAGTTAATGGGTCGTTACATAAATTTACGAACAGCACAGAAAACATTTTAAGCGAACAACAACAAAAGACGAATGTCGCTTGTCGAAATACATAACTCACAGTGGCTATAATCAATAAATGTCTCTAACTTTCATTTTTACCCAATAATTTTAAACTTACAGTTCTATTTTTTTCATTTGTTTGTTTGTTTTACAAAGTTTAAACGTTTACTCAACAAAGAGTTGAATAGTTTTGGTGAAGCTGATAAGTCTAGACATCAAATATCTGCCTATATTTGTGAAACATTTTTAGGTAAGTGACTTACTATTAATAACCATTAACGACTGTTTATAAAACTAATGGAGCAGTTGTTCATTTTAATTGTATTTTTTTAAGTAGTGATATTTTGGACAGCACTAATGAATTTATGTTGATTTTGAAGAGATATTTGAATAAATCTTTCAATAATGTATTCGTCCAAAAATGATTATAGTTGTAGAACTCTAGATTTGTTCCAGTGTTAACTGCTCAGTTAAGCGTAAGTGCATTCCAACGATTATATCTACCTTGAAAATCAAACTTAGCAGTCTCTGCTTCAAACACCTATCAAGTCTCTAAAACTGCGAAAATGTATTCAGCGGTATATGATTTGCCTGTAATATTGATAATGCATATTTAATAAGCCTGGTCACTTTAGTTAAAAAATGTCAGCAACTCAAACAATACCAACCGTCTTACAAATCTGTGGCTGAAAAAACAGGGTAGTTAGTAGATAACAGTACTTATATAATTATCCATAAGTAATTTGAAAATATATGGAAGTTTTAAATCTTTAAAGAAATATAAGTATCAAGAATTTTCTGATATTGCTAAATGCTAGACGTGAGTTAGAATGTCTATATTCCTACAAGTGGCTTACATCTACATAAAATTAACAAAATGTAACGTTTTTTATTGAAATTATGAAAGCGACATTATTAACGTTTCAAATTTTTCTACCAGTCACTATTTCATACGGTTTGTTTCTTTTGTAAAGTATCTACGACACGATTTACATATAAATATGCAGACGTTTATATATATATATATATATGTTTGTTTGTTTGCGGCAAAAGCTCATGCTTAACACTTGTCATTTACTACGGTCACTAAGTTTGATTATGCAACATTATGTTATCTTTCACTTCAGTAGATACACTTTGTAAATTTTTAATCCAGTATTATAAGTAACCGACAAAGTCCAGTAAAACACAATGAATTCATATTATTCTGCTTCATTAGTTACTACTAATCTATATAAAAAAAAATTAAAGCTGGATAAATATGAAAACCCTCGATAATTACTACTAATCTAACATGCCTTTCACTAAGAATGCTGGTGTGTGATCACGGCTACTCACTAGAACTTAGAAAATTACCTCACGAAGCTAGTCACTGGTGACCATATGATAATTATCAGTATATGGTTGTGGAAATTGTTGAGTTTTAGATGAAATCATGGACTGATCAATGTTAGGTCACCACCGAAAACATAGAAGCACTAGACCACCTCTTCATCTTAGTATATAACACTTCAGCTATGAGAATCCACGATCCCGCACTACAGGCTCAAACCCTGGATCGTTTAACATCTAGACCACTGAGTCGGTACCCGGCGGTGTTAATGTTACAAGATATTGTGCGATCACCTTCCACTGTCTTCAGCGGGTAACTGCCTGGAACATAATTATCTGAAATTATTTCTATTAGTCTAAATTGACTTCCACGGAGGACAAAGTTTATAATACGCCCTTCGACCCTGAGATAATCAACATATGCACCAACAGAAATCACAAAAAGAAGACTTTCAAACCTCTGATTTTGATTTATATAGATAAAAATATCCGGTTAATCTAATAAATTCGATTTCATCATTAATTTTTTAAGTTTATCAACCTCAGTAAAATATCCATCTTCAGGAATTGTTAGGAATCGGCATCGACTGGAAATCATATGAAAGCCAGAAACTAATGTTTTAATATTGTTTCAGACTCTTCGATAGCACGCACTTATTACAGTTCCAGGGAATCAAACCCATGACCGCCGTTTATGCAACTTATGCATTACGCTAAATCTGAATTGTCTAGTTCAAAGTTTTCAGTCTTTTCGTCTACAACATTATATTTGTATATGTTCATTTATGCAAAGGTATTCACGACTGTTCGATCACTTACTAGTGATCAATCTCATGTATGTCAATTTCTTCTTAGTGTTGGTATGATTCAATCCACCAAGTTGCAATTTGATCACTAGTCTCAGTAACTCAACATTTCCTGCAGTATGTTGAGATGCAAAGTGGTGGTTAGAGGTCTTCGACCCTGTTGAAACTTTATTGAACTAAATGGTTTTATTCATGTTAAAAAATACATTTATAAAATAGTCTATGTATTTTTCAATAAATCAGTGTATATATGGAAGATTTGAACTCATTAAATCAAGTGAATTCCTCGCATTCTACAATTTTTGATTTCTGTGCTTTATCAAATTTTCTCGAAGGAAGGTAGCTCTGAGTCGCACAGTTTATCTTCGCTCAAATGAGATCATATTGGTTATTTTACTTACCTACGAAGTGAACACTAATGCTTCTACTATATTACTTACCAGAAATTCTAAGTAATATCTGATTAGTACTTCAAGTTTATTTATAGTAGTTTGAAATCGAACATAATATGCATATTGTTTACTTCGGCGCACCCCTACAGTGGAGAAATTACTATTTTAACATGGATTTATTCACAGATTTTTTCTAATTGATATGGATGTGTTTAATTGCATTTTCCTGAACTGTGTAGATACAAGTAATTCACAGATAAGCTAAGCTAATATATTTCTTCCCTTCGGTAAGTGTAATTCAGTTCTTCGTACTTTAATGGGATCTTGTAGTTTTAACATAAATACACAACACCTGTGAGATAAGACGTAACCTTAAACACTGAATACCTGTCTAGTCTAAGTTTAAACAGTATACTGCGAACGTGTTTAAATTCGTAATTATAAATTATTATTTCATCTGTCAAACCTCGTAAAACGTAAATAGATATTCGTCCATATGAAGGTTTGTCTTACTGATTTTACTAAAGCGCACATTCGATAAATTTCTACTACTCCCTTACACTACTTTGAAATATCTATCTTTTAAAGCTTATACTCTGTATGCCCCTCTTAATGATTAGCTTATCGGTGTACATAAACACTTAAATAAAAATCTAAATCACTATTAACTCTTGATGATTTTAGATGTTTATTATTCCAAATCTAATCAATCTTTTCTTCTATATCGGATGGGTCTATTGAAAAAAAGCAGAAACTGAAAAAGACGTTGAAACCAATGAAGAGATTGATTCTATGCTGGAAAGACGACGTAGTAGTGGTCAGTCGCACAATTCAACCAGTGGACAAGATACAAATACTACAAGTAAAAGACAGTCTTCAGGAACTTGTGATCCAAATGCTAATGTAACCAATACAAGGACACCGGATACTACTTCTTCCCTTTCCTCATCAGTTACAAAGACAAGATTAGGATCAACTGGAAGTATGTCAACTGAATCTCGCAAAAGCGCTCAACTAAATGATTCTAGTGGTTTGTTAACAACAAAATTGTCATCCAGTTCAAAGTCAACGAGTCAAAATGTAGACGATGGTAATGGGCCATACCTACCTATTCATGGAGTTGAAACGCCCAATGATAATGAGTTAGAGGAAGTAAGTTCGAACAGTTGATGTGGTAAAATAGTATCTTGTTTAGTTTTGAAACATGTAAACTAATCTAAAATTGCCAACAATGAAAGCAAAGAGACGCAAACATATTCAGGTAAACAATATAGTTATTTGATTAACCGAGATATGTTTGTATTCAAGAGACTAATTAGGTCCACCGGTGGAAGTGATCTTGAACATAAATGTTCAGCATGGCAAAATGTTGATAAGTTTAAGTATTCAATATTTTAATTCTTCACTTCGTTACACAAAGAAAATCTTTAAGTTATGTGGAACTCACATTCAGACATGTTACAAAATACAATGTTTCGCCATCCAACAACCATCCTATCTTTAACGACATTTAACATTCAAAGTAACAATTGAATAATTTAGATTTAATGACGAAAGTCTGATATATAAATTTGTTTCTCATCAAAGTCAAACGGTTTTGCAAAAAAATAGGTTTGCAAAGACGTTATTCATGAAACATGCTATTCACTAGTATCATTTTGAATTGCAGTTCAACATGACATAATTTCTAGGTAGTTTTTGAAGGATTTTTCGGTGGATCCCAGTAGTTAGTAGACGCATCCATCGCATAAACTGTAAGTGTAAAGTTTTCTTACTTAAACGTTTAGATATTAATCATCATTCCTTAATTCTACGTTACTAGTTGAATTTTATGTTTCATGCATTTTGACTAGTTATATACGATAGCCAAGAGGTATTCCAACTCTTAATATCGAATATTTCTCAGACGTATGAATCTTTCCTCAAATCAGTACAAGCACTAACAAGATTTTCATTATTAAATGTTTTTAATTTATTGCAAATCTAAGTAAGAATGAAGTTTTTTGGTATCTGCCATTCATTTAGATCACTAGCTTTCGGTAACTAGTTTTTCATTGTAAAATAATTACATTTAGATGATAGATGGAAACTAAGATCTGTTTCACAGTTATTTTGTTTTAGACTAGGACTGTAAAAGTAGGCATTCCCCCACTCCATAACATTCAAAATACTGAATATTCATGCATTAAAAGGTTTAACTATTGATTCATTAAATTAGTATGATATGGGCAATACATTTAAAAATCAACCAATTAATCTTACAACGGGAACATCACTAAATCTCTATGATTCATTATCTCATTTTCAATTCGTTTGCTTCCATATGAAACTTTTGATCTAATTAGTTTAGGATACACTAATCTTATCTGCATTTCTTGTTGATACATCTGGTCTATCTTCGTTAATATGAATTGAAATATCCTTAGATGTCTTTAGACATCAGTCTCTTCATTTGCTTCAATTTCAAATGCTTTAACAAAGATGTAGAGACAAACGATCACTTCAAATTCAATTTATCAACAATAATTCAAACAGTAAACTCACATGCGGATAACACAAAAGATCGTATATATTTGATGTTCTTATTAGTATGGTAGGTCTTAGCCTTTCATCATGCTTGTATTCTCTACAACTGAAAATCTCTATAATTATCCTTGAATATTTCATGGATCTGTAGCTCACCTTTCTTGATCATTTCTTTGAGTATATAAAAAAGTAAATCCAGTAGCTAACAAATCAAAAGGATAAATCCATATCCATCCTGACTTATTTAAATATAATTGAAATTATTTGCACGAAAATTCATGTAACATAATGTAGAAAATTATGCAGATTTTGTAATTAGGTTATTTATTTATTTGCTACTCTGAAGAAGTGGCTTACTGAGCGAATAGATTGTTCACAAATAAACAAAGCCATAAAGAATTAAAAGTCAAGAATGTGGAATAGTTTTCATGATTTATGTTGAGAATACAAACTAAATCAACTGAATGTTATTGGTTAGAAACAAATGAAAACTAAATAAAGAAAATAATGATAGATTGTTCTGAGATTAGCAAAATTGGAATTTTTTACTCTGATAATTATCTTTCTGTGTAGATTTATGTATGAATTCGTATTAATTTCAGTAAAATGTAAATTGTATATTGTGAGTTCTCAGTTTCAATGTTTGTACATTGAATTTCTTATCAGAATAAAAACAACGCAAAACAGTTCCTTCATAATTGACATTAACAGAGTTACTCCGGTTAGACATTCATCGAAAACCAGGAAGCATTGGATAGCTGTTATGTCAGAGTATGGGATTATTCACTAGTCTACATCAAACTACCACTGAGGATCAAGCCTAGGGCCTTCATGTTTTACGGCGATTACTTAAGACTCGAAACACTTGATCAGGATCCACTGGTTTTTATGTCTAATTTCAATCAACTGGATATATTGCGTAATTATCTCCCTCACATCTGACATGCTTAAACACTACTGGTAAGTACTTCTCACTAAAACTCAGAGAATTAGCTCTTGAAATTTTTAGTTAGTGAGCCCTTGATTATTATGGCAGATATTGTTGGATGCTCAGCATCTACACTTACAAACCACTGTAGTATTCATAACCATGTACTCGCTAGTGACTACGATAAGTAATTACGCGAATTTTAGTGAGGAAACATGACCAATAAAGTTCCAACACTGGAAGATGGTTGCTGAATACTACGAATTAAATGGTGTTAGACAGGTAAACTATTAGATGACGATTCTGTCAAGATTAAGAAGTTGCCGTAGGACACAAAGATTCTGGGTTCGAATCTGAGCGCGATGGTATATACTTACAGCTGAGGAGTCTTTTATTACTACAGCTACTAAATGAATTCTTGGTTTTAATTTTCCTCTAACTGGTTTGTGATGTTGACTATGAAATCCGAAAGTCTACACAAACAACATAAAACAGTCTCGTTTAGCAAATTTGAAGTTTAATTAACCTTCTCATAAAATGTGTCATCTACGTATGTTTCGTATTACAAGTTGAATAAAATGTAAGCTTACTTTTTACTGACAACATATCAATTATGCTGGCTGCATTAATCCGTTACTTCAATATTTCCTCTGTCAAAGTTCATTAACATTTGCATGTTTGCTTTATTTTTATATGAAGCGTTAAGATTAGATATTTAAGTGTCTAAAATATATAACTTACAGGAATATCCTTTTTCATGGTGCTTTGGTGAATTCTCTTGAAAACCTAATTTAAATGCTGAATCACTAAGGCCAGTTAACTTTTTAACTATCTACTTTTTGTTAACACTTGAAGTTGGTCGGAAATGAGATTGATGGTGGTTCTCTTACAAATTTCATAAGTTTTGATCACGATGATATTGAATAAGTAGACTTCAAATTAGATAATGGTAACTAAAATTTGTCGAACTTTTAAGAACTATATCTAATCTTTAGCCAAACGTTAACTGTTAAAAGTATACAGTTCGTATAATGTAACTGAGATATAACTGATCTAGCTTAACGAATGTAACATCATTGTAAGATTAGTTGCCTAGTCAAGAGAGAATAAAATAACAGGTATGAAACATTCCATTTTGAAACAGTATAAATCCGAAAACAAGAAAAAAACTTAAACATCATGTGATGGTACAGATTATTGCATGCAGCAGGAAAAAACTAACGATTATTAGCAGTTGTTTAAAATGGTAATTTTCACAGATTGAAATCATGAGTCAGTTGAAGATAGACCACCACTGAAAACCTGGAAGCACTGGACGGCCGTTTCGTCCTAGTATGGGACTCCTCAGCAGTGCTCATCCACGATCCCACACCACGAAACCGCGAAGCCAGTAGGTCCTGGGTTCGAGCCCCGCGTGGTGCGGGATCGTGGATGAGCACTGCTGAGGAGTCCCATACTAGGACGAAACGGCCGTCCAGTGCTTCCAGGTTTTCAGTGGTGGTCTATCTTCAACTGACTCATGATATCAATCTGTGAAAATTTCTAAAAATCTCCACAAACCCCTTCTGATAAAATGGTAATTATTGAGTGTTTTTATGATAGTTGGTGTAAATAAAGAAACAGTTCAATGTCTAATTCAGTTATCAAATTACCTTAAATCAATAAAAAAACAAATTTTCTCATTAAAATCATATGCACCGGAAACAATTAATCATGAATAATAAAAAAATATTTTTCTGTTTATTTATAAATCTAGCTCATTTAAGATATTTGTAAATAAATCGGCTAAATTTCAGTTTCACTGCAATAAATAATATAAACTGATGTAAAACTTGGGAACGTACACTTTTTAAATTTCACTAAGACCTGATCATCATTGATAAAGTAATGAAAATCAGATGGCATCAACTAGTTGTTTAATTTGAGTTTAGGATGCTGGAACAGTGTGCAACCCTACAGATCACAAATTGTTTAACATTCATAATGTATACAGTTTGATTCTATCTTACTCATTGTGGTTGTGTGGTGTGTTTATCTAAACGAGAAGTGAGGATGTTCGATACTGGGAAATTCAAATTAGAAAGAAATGTCCGACTACTATTCTGTTTTACCAATCAGTTATTTAGCTGTAAATTATCAAAGCTACTTTGGTAAAATGTACCTCAAACAAAACATGGTCTTATGAAATTACTGCCTGTGAAAATTTCTTATGTTGAAGATTTGTTCGTCAGTACTCTCGGTAAATGTGTCGAAACGGAAATCTAATTCACAGTTTATCTATAAACTCGATAATTTAAGTGTATACCGCTTGGGATTTTCGTGTCATTTCAGTAATTAATATTTCCCTCTTTTTTATGATGAGGATAATTTATGGACGAACTTTGAGCGACACAGTAGTGACCTTGGGAAAATACACCTACCTACTAGGGTCTTAAGAGGACTATACATTAGTGTGAGAAGTTAGGGTTAGGAATTAGAGTGAGGGTTTTCATTACGGACTGATATTACCTGTTATACCGAAATACTATTTAGCCTTACTATTTAGCCTTCCCTCCGAAATCCAAAACTAACTACAATAAATTTAATTGGTTCACCCATAAATTAGTTTCTCAATTTTTATTTCATCATGCTTTAATTAAATGTTCACATTATTGCCTCTATTGGTTTTAGAGATTCTCGCAGTGCTTGGATGAATGGGGTTTAGACATCTTTGAAATTGATCGACTTTCTAATGGACATGCCCTTACAACAGTTGCTTATAGAATATTTCAGGTATTGTTTAAAAAACATATTTTCTTCATATTTCAACTTGTTTAACTTTGTAAACTGAATATACCAATTGAAATATAAAATAAGAAAGAGTGGTTCTGTGAAGAGATAACTTTTCGGCAAATTCACTTCCAAAGCTGTACAATCGCAAGTATATACTTATTTTCCAAAATGATGGAATTTATAATAATAGTGGTAATGAAATTCCGCTAAACCGATAACAGTGAAAAAGAATAAACAATAATATTTAAAGATTATTTTATTTACCAACAAAACTAATAATAATTTTGTTGTTGAGTGTTCGAATATTCATCATAAAGATAAATAAGGAAATTCTAATAGGGAGGGGAAGGTTCAGTATGACAAGATAAGCTGTTGAAATTGAGATGAACTGTAATCAGGAGAATTATCGAAACAGAAACAGACCAGTTTGGTGTAAAAGGTCTATAGAGAAGATAGAAGAGAAGCAGATGTCTCTGAAAGTAGATAAATATAAAGTAGCATGAAAAAATCACGATAGATTTAGACCATAGTAGAAGAAGTTATACCAGTTCCTTTTGGACAAATAATTCTGGTTGTCCCAGATATATAGCCAGTTTTTCTGCAGAAATAAGTAAATGTCTTTGGAAGCTTTCTACCCACCTTATAGATGACTTTAAACACATAATGCACTTTGATTAAGTGATCTGTATTCGGAGGGTATTCGAGTATTGAGCTTCTTATTTCGATATTTCCACCTTCTTTCAGTCAGAATGGGTAATATTCTTGAATGTTTTTGGATAAAACACGTATCAAACGACCAATACACCAGGCTCTACATGAACAGACAAATTAGTCAAAAACGTTCAGTTTTCATTAGATATGCAAACTTATTGATCATTGAAAGACTTTAGATAACAGTTCGTAAATATTATTTTAAACTTTACTCACTAAATCAACCAATCGAGTAGAAAGTTATTCAGATGAAAATGAAATTGAATTAATGTGGAAAAAACAACACAAATTCTTAATAATAAAGCTTATAGGTTTATCAGAAACCATTTTTTGAATGTAAGCATTACTTGATGGATAATTCATGGTTAAATTAATATGATATGAGCAGGATAATAAGTAAATCTCTTAAAATTCCCGATGATCCCCGTATAAAACTAAAATGTTTCAGAGCCATAAAATGGAAGTGTGTCATGTTTTTTATGTCATATCATTTACCGATATTTATACTGCCCAATAGTTTCTCTATAAAATGACCATAGGAATTCAGTAACTATATATATTTGAAAGGTTAACAAGTGTGTTTATCAAAGAATCATGTATATATAGATCTTACGTCACCAAATATCGGATCATTAGTACGTAACATCTATCAATGATACTAACATTAACTCAACTATCATTATTATTAATGTCAGTTATGCCAATGAAATGAGTGCAACTTTGGACAGCTTTTCATTAGTTTTTGCCTGTAATTATATGAATTCATTCAGTTAATCGTAAGAAATGTAGAACCTAACACATTTTTACATCTGTCTAAGCTATTGTACTACACGAACACGTCTAGCTGAAATTATCAGGATGAATTTTAATTAATAAAACCAGAATAAATACACGACAATACATATGAAACAATACTAGTTTTAAAGACGTTTGATTATACTACTGCGCGAAGAAGTTAGTTAAAGGATTTAATTGGAAGATAAGTTGAAGTATTTAGTCGAATAATATGGTTGACTATAAAATGTCTGTGTATGTGTGTATGTGTACCGACTATCCTGACTAACATTTGTTTTGTTCACAATATAATGAAAATTGATATTGTATTTCTTTCGCACAATAAAATAATCAAAGCAGAACTATCATATCATACATAGTCAATCATATAAAAAAAAATGGAGTGAGAGGAAGTATATTATATGAACATTGATCGGCATCATTGTTTATTTGTTTCACTATTGGTTTTTAATTTCCTTTTGTTTGGTAGATTCAATCACCTATGAAATTGTTCTCATATCATGCTTTTGATTTTTTTTTTACCAGTTAGTTCATTAGCATAAAGATGTTGATAGATAAATCATTGTTGACTGGGAAAATCACACTAAGTAATAATGACATTTTGTCAATCTGTTCACAAAATGTTTAACATTGGCTTATATTGAGTTTTCTTCTGAATCAATATTCATGATAAGATTTTTGAAATCAACATTTTCAAAATTAGTTTATTGTTTTGAACTGATTGATAATTTAAGATTTTTGAATACCACAACAAAGTATTTAGCTTACAGATATAAAATGAACTGACGTTAGATAGTTAAAGGTAGTTAACAGGACACTTCTAGCTTAAGTTTAGTGCTTATTATACTTGTTTATTGAGGACTTCAAGTTGGCAGATTCTCCACATGATTAGGGAAACCCCTTGTCGATGAGTTTCAACTAGCAGGAAACCTGGTTACAGAGTTCTAGATCGACTTCGTCCAACTACTGTCAATTAAAACATAGTTCACGAGTTGTTGATTTACATAAACTGATTGGCAAACTACAATATAATCGATAGGATTCAGCAGCACTAGACGATTAGACATGTGTGATTTTCTCAACGAGACTTATCAGCACTCTTAACTCAGTAAATGCTTTCAGGAAGGTATGGACCAATATTATCTCGTTATACAGTCAAATACATTATTCATGTGCTGCTCACCACTCAGAGATCTCTTGTATGGTTGTAATGTTCATTCTGATTGGTCAATGAGGAGTAACCAACGTCAGGTTTGTACCGAGCGAACTTTATCGACCCCGTTGTAGCAGTAGATTTTTTACTAAACCAAATTTATTTACATCTTCAATTCTGTCTTATTACTATGAAAATTCTATGTATATATATATATATATACATATATATTTTACTTTACAGAAACGTGATTTACTCAAAACATTTTGTATTGATCCTCGTGTTTTTGTACGTTATCTGTTAAGAGTTGAATCAACTTACCATGCTGATGTTCCTTATCATAACTCAATGCATGCAGCCGATGTTCTTCAAACAGCACATTTTTTGTTACAAGCGGAAGCATTAGACGTAAGTCGTATGAATCGGTTGGACTTATAAATATCTATTTGGAAATTGAAAACAATACTTATAGTCAGATTAAAAGTTTAGATATATGTATTTCGGGTGAAAACAAAGTAACTGTTTGGATTTAAAAGTATTTTTCACCGAAAGTTAACTTTATTAAAAGCCTATGAAATAGTAAAGTACATCATGCTAGCAAATGAGTCAAAAACCTATCAAATGAAAACAAAAGATCTTGAATCGTCTTAGTGGTTAAAACTTCAACTGTGATTTCAAATGACTATATTTCAAATTTGAATTGGTGGATACTAGTGGTTTGAGCGTGCGTCGGTCACTTTCAGTTTTCATCAGCATTCATGAGTAATAAGATATCATGAACTCAAAAGAATATGAGGAAAATTCGAAGCGTCATATTGAGTTAATTTAAAAAGCAAAGGTTTATTTTTAAAATCACATTCATCAGTTATTCTCTGTTGAATAATTTAAAAAAAATAACGTATCTGTATTATTGGTAAGGGATTTTTTTATCCCGACGTTCATATTCAAAACCGAAACTAAACCAGGCTTATAAAAATATTTGCACACCATTTAATATCAAGTCATGGGATATATATGGACCACGACTTCCATTGGAATTCAGGAAGTTAGCTCTGTTTAAATCCGAATTTGTCAGCCAATTCGTGGCTGTTTGGACCCTGCCACTCTAAGTTATTTAAAGCAAAAGGTGCTAAATTGCTTCACAGTGCAAACACAAAGATTGAGATGTAGGTACATCCAAGTGCCTACTCTCATATAGGATGAAAGGCGCATCCTGCTTTTACCATTAGCTATAATCGGTTTATATTTTACACTAAGTATATATCTATATGTCTGATTCATAGTTAATAAATACATTGTATCAAACTTACTTTTTATAGGCAATCTAACACTGTCTGATACACTGACGTTTGTTTTAAAGAATCAATTCCTTTCCCGTCTTCCCAATGATCATGATGACAAAATTGACCATAAAACTTACAAAATTAATTTATTTGGCAAAGAAATGAAAAAATAATTCTGAACATCAGATATTTCCTATTTCGCTTTGATTTCTGTTTTAAAATAAAATTCTCATATAAATTTTTACCACTCCAATAAATATTACAGAGTTTTATTAAGTAAAAGAAAATTATAAATGAGTTAAATGACATTTACTGTAATATTTTAGACCAAACACTTACTAATTTCAATTGTAGAAAAATAAAGTTAACAACTTTCAGCCGAATGACTATGAAAAGACATCTCTTAATTCTGATCAGTAGTATTATTATTTATATTGGTCTTTGGACATACTCGTAGGTCCAAACTCTGTGGGTGAACATCGTAATTGAAAGACTAGATCATTTATATCAGTAGGGCTTCAGAATTTTAGTTAATTAAAAGTCCAGTATACTTCACTGATATTGCGATGGATCTTGATAATGTACAGTTTATTGTCAGATCATTTAAGCCGTATTCATGAACATGACAGGATGAAATTGATTTCTCTTATAACTCAAATGTATATTTGATCCAGTGATTTATTACTAGTTTGGGCTAATCAATATATTATATCTGAATGAAGCACTAATTAAAGTGAGTTTTAAATTTCGCGGTAAAGTTATTACTTTCAAGTCGTTTTCATTACAAGTAAATAAACGTGATTCTTTCATGAATTATTTTTTGATAACATTTAAACACTATACAGAATTTACGTTCTTTGTACACAAAACTTCAGATTTAGCACCGTAAAATCCAACAGTGGTGATCGATATTTTCATTCCAGCTAAATTGATGAATACGGTTGACAACAGAAGTTTGTGTTCAGAGATAGAAACAATCATGAGAAACTACTTAATAAACTGGACTACACTAAAGTTCGATTAAGGTAAATAGGACTAGTCATACAAGATATACTAAGTTGATTAACAACTTACAAAACATTCAGTGAGACTGAGTTTATACGGTTCTTAATAGACTCAATGACTGTCCTTATTTATTGATTTCTCTTTAAGCTAACTATCTTATAAAACAAAATCATTCTATTTCAGAGTTCATTATCCAAATTGTTTTCTAGTTCAATAGTTATTTACATTGTTTCTTCAATAATTTATTTAGGATGTTTTCAGTGACTTGGAAATTTTAGCTGTTCTGTTTGCCGCAGTTATACATGACGTAGACCATCCTGGAGTAACTAATCAATTTTTAATCAATACTGGTAAGTAGGAAAAGTAAAAAGATAAAGAATATTTATATCAATTTTTGAGGATTTATTACATTTGACAAATACACTTTTTGAGTTCACTAAACTTCTGAAAAACACTAGTAACCTAATGGAGGTACTTTTCAGAATTGTAAATATAATAGATTTTGATGTTTTGAAATACAAACAGATATGTGTCTGGACATGGGTTAACTTGAGCAGACTAGTTCACAAGAAATAAGTTGTTTTCAATAAGCGATTTATCTTGATGTTATTGTTCATATAGCTTTGATAAAACCTTTCATTACGTGGAAAATATATGTCACTTGTCACGCTTTTTTCTCAGCACCAGAATAAGTAGACAGTCACTTGTAGGTTAAAAGTAATTAAGTAAGAAACTATTGTTTCGTTGGTTAATGTATTTTACAGTCTATTCAAGTCCATAATTAAAAGTGAAAATCATCAACGCCCGGAAGTATAAAAGATGATTGAAGTTGAAATATATTTACTAACAAATAAATTATCGTTATAACTACTGTTACTTTATTTAGATAAATGAACAACACCAAAAAAATAGACTTTACAATAAATCATGGAATAATCATTCAGCATAATTAAGTGTTCAACAAAATCAAATGAATAAAAGGATATGGTCTAACATTAAATCAAAACACTTCATGTCCTAAATAATACTTATACTAATGAGAAACTTAAATCATTTCTGAAGGCGTTATGTGCATTGGTTAAAAATATTATTATTATTACTAGTATGCTTGTGTAAGAGCTTGACTTCTTACTTAGGCAAACTTAGACAGACTTGTTTACAAAGGTTCAGCGATACCAACATCAAACAAGATTGTTATGAGATTTGAAGCAAACGCTGAATGTATAAGCAACATCTGACTACTTTAATTACTACCATCATGAATTGTTTGCTCGACATAATTAGTCATTCACTATTAACTGTAAACATTTTGCTTGATAACAATTCTAAGTTAATTTCTTTTTTGTTGTTATTCTTGTTTTCTGATGTCTAAATTAAGAGTGACAATGTCATGTAGTGATTAATTTGAGTTTATAATTGATTGATCACTGAATAGTGACCAATGTTATGTCTGTCAGGCATTTAATAGAAATCTAATCTTATCTGTCCAGTTGAGCTATGTTCGCTAGTTTCAGGGACTCGGCATCGTATCAATCATATTTTGCATTAAGATGATTGGAGTAAGTCTGTAGGAAACTAAGGATCTAGGTTTTGTGTTGGTCGGGACTCTTCAACAAGCCATGTCTTATATTCTTAAGAAGACTGATGCTTCTTATCGGATTTGAACACAGAGATATTCTGACGAAAATTCAGGTGGGTCTTGTTTGTAAGCTCCAATACCAGAGACTCCTCTCAACTGCCTCTTACCAATGAACATTTCAGCTTAGTTAAGTAGTAGATAGGCGGAATTTGTCGATGAATATCCCTTTGAGCAGTGCTAAGGGGAGGGTGTGAAAAATTATCTACCAATGTGTCGGCTAGTGAGAATACTAAATTTACATCACAGTCGCATTAATGTTACTTGGATGATTATAGAGACACACCCTAGACTGGTTGCAGTCCGAAACAGGAACTATTCTATGGCCTAAAAGTTATTTACATGTATAGAGACTTGAAGTTATGAGTGTGTACTCTTGGGTCAGGGTACATGCTTTTCAACCTAAAACAACTATAACCAATCTAGAAAGAATACGAATTCCTTCTATCTGTAAGAGTTTGTATATAATTGGTGAATATTGCTGATTATCCTAGGCAATCAAAAAACATGAAAACGATGAAAACAGACTATGAATCCAACTTAATGACAAATATGTGGTAATTTGTTGAGATTGTAGCATTTTAACAGTTGAATTCACGAGTCAGTCTAAGCTAGACTTCCAGTGAAAACCTGGAAGCACTAGATAGTCGTTTCATTCTAGAATAAGACTAGTAAGGGGTGCGCATCCACGCAAACGCTTAACCTCCAGACCACTGAGCCGGCATTCAATGATGTTATGGTTTTCGCAAGACCTTGGATCAATTGAAGTCAGACATTTAAACCGTTGTATGCCTGCTCAATGGTTTAGAGGTTAAGTGTTCACGTGCGAAATCGAAGATTCTGGGTTAGAGTCCGACGTGCGAGATCGTGGATGCGCACTGCTAAGGAGTTCTGTTCTGAGACAAAAAGGCTTTCCAGTGCTTCCAGGTTTTCGATAGTGGTCTAGTTTAGACTGGCTCTTGAATTCAACTGTTAGAATTTATGGTACTTAAATCCATATTATCATCAGTATACGATCATCATGACAAACATTCTTGTATCAGTGGGTTTTTTATTAAAGTAGTGCAACGAGAAAGACAGAAACTTTTGTTGTTCCTTGCTAAATATTATTCTAATGTTTATGATCAGTCAAAAAAGTCAGTTGAAGAAAATATTTTTAAATGGAACATAATTTTTCTGAAAATAATATCGGTGAATATTTCAAACGTTAGCAATGATTAAAAAACTAATATTTTTTTCGTGGTGTAAAACTCATTTTTTACCCGATTTATGACGGATTGTACGTGTGGTTTTCAGCATCCACTTTTCATTTTAACTCTACTGCTTGAAACAAAACTAATAATTTCGGCTTTTGAAATGCATAATTTTGTGATGTATTCAGCACATTTCATTTATTTAGGAAAAAATCTAGAACAAACTAAAGACTGAAATTTCTTTTTCACTGTGGTATATGTTGAACTTTTCAGTTTTACCGACATATGGACAAGTTTTACGTGGTATTATTTATGCACTGTAATGTTCAAATGTTGTCTCTATAAATTATCATAACTTTTGAATTAGATACTCTTTCATTGACTAGGAAAGTAGAGTTCTGAATATTTGACTATGTGGTAAGGTTGTATAAGACATAAATATACATTGGATTATGTAAGTTAGGCGAAACTATAATTTATGAACGAACCAATCAACTATAGTGCAACAGGTTGTGGATTTTGGCGCGAAATTCATTCATCAATTTGAACAAATAGTGTTTAGGAATTTTAGCTGATGTCGGTTTGTGATAGAGACCCTAAATCTAGTTCTTAACCCTAACCACCAACTGTAAATCTTATTTCTAATTCCTTACAATGGTTTAGTCCTAGTTTGTAGGTGGACATTCTCAAGGTCATTTTGCGTCGATCAAACGTTGTAGTCTCACCGTGAGTTATCTTAGTCAATCTGTTGAACTTATTTATTTGATAAAATTTTAGCTTGTACTCAAAATCATTTGTTATATTAGACAAAAAGTAAATAAAAAGACTCAAGCAAGTGAATAAAATGGGGAAGAAATATGATTTTATTGATTTTTACGAATTGATTTTCTCTTTTTCTTTAATTTTTTTAAATAATTTGTTTTAACTTCGTTACCATGGATTCCTTGGCGTTAACATAAATCAACTTAATATATTCTAAATTAAATTATACAATTATTTACGTGCACATTAGTAAATAATATCACGAAAGGTTCGGTGAAGTATGGAACATTTTATAAGGTTCATTAACTATCGAGGTTTGATCCTGTTAATTTGTTATTAGGAAATTATTTGATCTAATTAGTTCGTCTATATAAGTATGTTTGAATATAATGTCGTTTACTACTATACTTCGATAAATGAACAGACGCTTTAATAATACGTATAGTTTACATATATATATATATATATATATATATATATATATATATATAACGTTTAGGTTAAGGATTAGTTACCTTAAATATACCATTGAATTAAAATGAATTTAGTTCCTATATATCATAATTTAACTGTTGACCTGACTTAATTTGTGAATATTTTAAAAGGCAATTTATAAATGTTTAGTGAAATTAATTCTTACCGTATGTATTGAATTTTATTCCCTCAGCGGAATGCAAATTATTCATACACCATAAATAAGAAACTTCAGTGGCGAAATCTAGGAGCAGTAGCTAGGTATTTTAATTATAATATATTGTCATGATGGCACTCAATATTTTAATGGTTAATAAGAAGATTACTGGAAACCAGACCAAAGTTCCAAGGTTTGATACCAAGTAATGTCTTGACTGTTTACTGCTGAATTCTTTCTTAGAATAAATGAGTCGTGGCTAACATTTGAATTCATGTTGAAACTTGTCAGCTGGATGTACTTGGGTTCTAGTGTTGAAGACCACATTGGGACTCGGACCGATTTCTTTTCTTTTCATACACGAAACGTGTTATCTAGTTGAATACTGAGTCCAGATAATTGCTAAATATTTCTAGGGGTTTAATCAGAGAAAAAAGTATACGAAATCGGATATTATTTAAATAAAAATTATCGGCTAAACATTTGGAACATTTGACTTTAGAGAAACATTGATCGTACAACCAGTGAAAATCGAGAAGTTAACCAGATCATACTTAAAACAATAACTCACAACTGATAATGAATGAGTGATCATAATATATTGCCAAGTTAATGATATTTAAGCTGTTAGGGATTTAAACTTTGACTTTGTAATGAAGCTTAAATAAGCATTTAAAATGATTGACATCTTAAGATTTAATTTAATTAGTTAATCATCTTATTTTTAATGATTACATCGACGAGATGATAATATTTTAAATAAACTATATAAAATCATTGAGCTAAAAGACATAATTGTAATCACCTTGATTTCGTTTTATACATAGGTAACCACTTTAAAGATTACTAACAATAGTTAATCCATCATACTATGAAAGCATTCCTAATGATGAAGATATTTTTTGTGATATCATAATGAGTAGAAAATTGTATTCCCGACGTTTTGTGACCTAATGTCAGCCACTGCTCCAGAGTAAATAAATGATCGACATTGTTAAGTTTCTACCCAATGCTCAAGTCCGACCTTGGTATTGATACCTACAAATTCATAATGGTTGATCGCTAAGTAGTAATAGATATGGTATTTGATAACAGTTGACAGGATTCCTTTGCCTCAGATGTCATGCTAACTAGCTCTCTTCAGTTTGGTGTATCTAGGATAATGAAGAAACAGGCGTTCTCCTAGGGATTCTTGAGCTTTTTTGTCCGGTATCACAGACAGAAACTCTACTACAAGGTGATTTGGATCAAGAATGACAAATCTCCATCATAACTTAGATGTTTATACTGACTGATTACCTAATGGTAATCCATGTCATAATTGCTAAGTCCTTATTGTTACTTGAATGCTATCAGCACAGCTTTAATATAAACAACAGACTAGGTAACTTGACATTGGGGTGGACACTTGTTTTCACTTAGTGATCAGACACAGTAAATATCTTCATCCTTCAGTGTCAGATACATTTTAGATAACAGATCGATAACTACTCTGACTGTAGCACAGTATTGTTGAAACCTAGAGATATAAATAATTTTATCATCAATACAAATGTCCATTGCTGACTAAAGTCATTTACAAACATCTGTGTGCAAGGCTTCTTAATAATTGTTTATGATTAACTAATTAGGAGTATTCTTCAGTGTATATGCTACACTATTTGTTTCCAGGTTGGGCAGAGTCTTCCGACCACTCTAGGCAATAATGCAAGCATGTTCGGGATGCGATTCTCCCCCTCAAAATGCGGAGTGTTGCTTCGACACCCGAACCAATGATAGGGAGTGAAGTAGTTGAGCATGTTGACCGCTTCACTAGTCTTGAAAGTCTCATCAGCCCTTGTGGTCTGGCGTGTGACGAAATCTCATCACGGATACAGAAGGCTCGACTAGCTTTTGCCAACTTGCCTCATTTATGGCGTAGGTAAGATATCCGTCTATCAACCAAAGGACGTGTTTACTGTGCAACAGTTCGTTCGTCCTACTTTATGGCAGTGAAACGTGGCCGGTAAGAGTAGAGGATATTCGTAGGTTACTAGTATTTGATCATAGGTGTCTTCGAAACATTGTTCGTATATCCTGGGAGCATCGAGTAAGTAACACAGTTGTTAGGAAAGGGGTACTAGGTAAGGATCACAAATCGATTGATGAAGTGGTGAAACTTCATCAGTTGAGATGGCTGGGACACGTGTTACGTATGCCCAACGACCGACTGCCTCGACGTGCGATGTTTTCTGGTATAGGAGTAGGTTGGAAGAAAGCTAGGGGCGGCCAGACCAAAACATGGCACAAGTCCATGAAGTCACTGACAAGTGGACTGAGCCATGTTGGTAGGTGTAGACTACCTGGTTTGGATCTGCGAGATGATAGCAACCTATGGTTAGAGACGTTGAATGACATGACTCAAAATCGTTTGCCATGGCGCAGGTGCATACACCCTTTGTGTTCTCCCAAATTCTAATCTTTGGAATTCTTCATGGCGCTTTCTTTTTCCTCTTTCGAAATTCATTTCATTGTATTATACTTATTGAATAACATCTTCAAACCCTAATCTTACTACCCCTACCACTACGAAATTTGAGTCGACAACTGCATCTCTGTGCTGATGTATGTACGTACGAAGTTCTAAGTTGTTACTGACTGACTGACCGACTAGGTATCTTTTATTATTCTGCGTGTTTCTGATATTCGCTTTACATACTTCAGTATTAACATATAGGTTAATAGTATTATTCTCAGTTGAATTTTCATCAGTCTTTACTCTGATAGATGGCTTATAGATTGAGTAAAATCAATCTGCCCAAATGGCCTTACAAAGAAGGTCAAGAATTACATGAGAGAACCAAAGTCCTCGGTTCGATTAACGGATGTGGTGTCACGAATGCACACTGCTGAGAAGTTAAAGCATTTGTTCAACCATTCATTATCCTTACCACAACTGCTGGTATGCCTGTCATGCTTCTATCAATTTGTAATCTTTACTTATTGCGTTAAGTTATGTAATCCATTTAATTGTTGTCACCGTAGCATAAACTGCCTTGATTAGTTTAATATTTTTCGTATATGCACGTAAGTATATTACTGTATAGTAAAATAAAGCCTAGTGAGGATCTAATTGCATACAATATTGTTCGTTTATATTCATTGTACGATTTTACACAATAGGGATGTTTCTATAATTTGAGTATTAATACACTATAACCTAGTTCACTAACAAATAATGATAAGATTTATTATTATATTTAAAATTAAAAAAAAGATTGTGGTGGTCGGTATTCAATATAATCTTTAAACTTCGTATACAGTTCGTCTTGATAACCGTCACTAGGTAACGCCCCAACGGTATATTAATCAGAAGGCGAATACGAATTGTTGATTACATTTATTATGGAATCAAACACAGATATCCCAAATTACACATGCATTAAACAAGCATGAAAGAGTTGTATCGAAAGGCAAGCAGGCAAGCGAGCGAGCGAGTGAGTCAGCGAATATGAGTACGAGTAAGCGAGTACAATTAAGAGAGAGAGAGCAATGAACACGAATAACATGGACATATACATACATAGTGAAATGAATGAATCAACGAATCAATTAAGGGGTTAGTTGTAAGGCTAGCAGCGTGAATAAATGCGTAGGCAGTAAGCAATGCTCTAGCATACATGTTTATACATTCTCAACAATCATGAATATGCAATGATATAGATAAGTTGTTGTTGTACGGATGACTCAGTTCGTTAATAAGTAAACAAAATAACCGATTAAAATGTGAACAAACTCAATTGCACGTGAGTTGCTATAAGATCATCATATGCACAAATTCCTTAATTTTCGTTTCTTAGTATTTTTTTCTAAAATCTATTATAAAGGTCATGAATTGGCTTTACAATATAATGATGCATCCGTTCTGGAAAATCATCATCTTTATATGGCATTTAAAATTCTAACCGAAAAAGATTGTGATATATTTGCTAATTTAGGTGGAAAAAAACGTCAAACTTTACGTAGAATGGTTATAGAATTGGTACGTTTGATTTTTAACTATATTTATGTATTCTGTGATATATTTATACAAAAGCCACTAAATAAAAAAACTGCATAGTGAAACTATGTCATTAGATGTGCGATTCGTTTGAAAGGTAACGTATCTATGAATGTGTCTCTAGGTTTTCTATGGCTAATAAAGTGTAATGAACGAAATAAATCTCTTGCTCCACGTAAAAGGTGATTGATCGCGTTCTTTAAGCTTAAACGTACACATAGGAAAATTAAGTTTGTTGAAGTTTCTATTAATTGCAAATAAACAGGTGGTAAGCGGTAACGTTAAACTAAGAGCAATTGGAAGAAAACAAACTGATTGATTATATGGTTAACTCATACATTATCATATGAAAAAATTTGTTGCTTAGATTATCTTATGAAAACAAAACGTTGCTTTGATTCCTAAGGGTTTAAATTAAGTAGAATGATAGAAATGGATTGATAACATGAGCTATATGAGTTCGTCCTAGTTATCAATAAACAAGTAATCACTATCATTTATATGATGGACTTCTGTCGGTTAAACATCAAATGGAAAACCTTGATTATAAGGCTATTCATCTTTACAAATTCTTCAATAGAGGATTGACTAATGTATCACAGAACAACCAAGGATTTAAAATATTATCGCTTATCTCTTCTTACTTCATTTTATAAAGTACGTAACCCAATTGCAATACGATATCATCTGATAACATTTGTTCTTTATGATTACTGGTTTTTTAATAATCAACTATTAATTACTCGCTTTGTGATATTTATGCTGTTATTTTACGTGGCTGTAAATTGTAGGGCCATAACATTAGATACTCAGACTAATGGTAATCAGTAATACCAGAAGATAGTTAAACGAAATTTGGAAATGCAAACTTAGGTATCGTGAACTAGTCTTCACTACTTTTCCCTACTTAGATATCTCCAAGTTGATTGGGATTAAAACAGGAAAATGAAACTTGGTTTTAAAAGTTTCTAAACTATATACTGAGATTTATTTTAATTGACCTTAACTAATAGACTCAAAAATAGACATACAATAAGATGCATTGGTGATAACTGTTTAACTAAATTATATTAATAATGCAAAATTGCAGAATTGAGTTTCTCCGTTGGACTTTGTTCATAGTTATCAATTTGTTTAAATATTTCTTTGTATAATCATTTTACGTATACAGGTGTTAGCAACAGATATGTCTAAGCATATGAGTTTATTAGCTGATTTAAGAACAATGGTTGAAACTAAAAAAGTTTCTGGATCCGGTATGTTGAATTTGGACAATTATGCTGATCGTATACAGGTATGTGATTGTTGGAGTTGAATAATTCACATTTCATTCATCCAAATAAGATTGTGTAATGATTGAAAAGTTACAGTTTGGTATGAAATACAATTTATCATTATTCATTTAATGTGAATATGAGACGAAAAATAAGACTTAGAGGTAGTAATAATAGCTGATCAGTATGTATGGAAAATTAGAATTTAGGTGAAAGAGGCTAAGATCCAGATAAAATTGGAGATATGTATTTTAATAGTTGAATTCATGAGCCGATATAAACTATACCACTACTTAAGATCTGAAAGCACTAGACGGTTGTTTCGTTCTAATACGGGACTCCTCAGAAGTGCATATCCATGATCCTGTATGTGGGACTCGAACCCAAGACCTTGAATATCACGCGTAAACGCTTAACCTCTAGATCACTGAGTCGACTCATTAATTCGATTATTAAGATTACTACAATCTTCATAAACCACCATCCAGATATATACTTATCGAAGATAAATTTGATTTAACTAGTGATCTAACTAATTTCCTTCTGGTTACAGACAATTTATTGCTAATTGATTAATCTTGGAAAATTGAAAAACATTTTTGTAAGGCACGTTTCACATAATTTTGATAGTCCTAATACTTTGGAGAGTGAGAAATTTTCAAAATGGAATATTTTTCAATTGTTTATGGCATTCGTTTGTTAATATTTTGTTTATCAATATGTTACTCTATTAGATGAATAGCCTCATTATTCAGGCTAATGATCTTATCTATAAACATAAATCATTCGGGAGACTTAAACCAACAATTCGGTCTCATGAGTAATCATCACTCGACCATATTTTATTAATGAGTTTCGCATTCCATCAGTATCATATCCCTTAATTTATCAAATCATTAAAACTCCCCCATAATGAAGGTACAATCAATAATTTAACAATTATTTGCAAAAGTGGGAACAAATCTGTTGAGATCAAATTCAAGAGTCAATATCATTTTTCATATATGATTGCTACATTAGATAACATATGAACATAATAATTCATCAGTTGTAGTTGTTAACTGTTTCTAAGAATAAAAAACAAACTATTCCATAGTTATTTTCTTATGGAACAGTCAGAATAGGTTGTGTTGTGTAAAGCAATCGGAAATTATCTGACTGTTGAATAATGTTCAGAAGTACCACTTGATACACTTTTTTAAGTCATCCGAATGTACAGTGATGTTATAAGATCCGAAAATACCTAAGTTTACTACTAGCTGATGGGCGAAAAATAGGGTTATTTTGAAATTTTATAGATTAGCTATCTGCATGTCAATGTAATAAGTTGCAACGATTAATTTTCATAACCACAACCTTAAACAAAGCAGTAGTTTTGGATCATTTGTCATCATATTCATCATCATCAGTCTCCCATAATACTTAGATCTTCTAACGTTTTAGCTGAAGAATCTTCACAATTCTCTAATCCTGATAATTATGATATGTAATTTATTACATTCTTATTTAAAGATGTATTTACATATGGTTCAGTAGTATTATGTTAATTTTTATTAAAATTCTGTTGCATTTTAAAGCCAATATCCTCAGTTTAGATTGTTTATTATGTCTCATTCAACTGAAAGTATATCTTTCATGTAATTCTATCAACTTTATGTTTTGAATTGTTTATTTTTTCCTAAATAATGGACAGATTTTACAAAATATGATTCATTGTGCTGATCTTAGTAATCCAGCTAAACCATTACGATTATATCGTAAATGGACTGGACGTTTAATTGAGGAATTTTTCAGACAGGGGGATAAAGAAAGAAAGTTGTCATTGGAAATTAGCCCAATGTGTGATCGTGAATCTGTAGAAGTTGAAAAATCTCAGGTCGGTTGTTAATTCTTGTGTGTGCAAACTCTTCATGTTTTTAACCGTGTAAATGAGCAATAATAAATTTGTTTTATAAGGGCAATGACATTAATAGTTTGATAGTTAACTAACAACGTAGCTTTTGTTCTCTATAATCACGAATTCAGATACTACTCCACCTAACTCTATCACGATAACTGGGTAATATCACTGGCTGTCATTCCCGTAGTACTTCTCATAGACCGATATATTTATTTATACTTCACAATTGAGTTCTAATCAATTTTTATGTAGAAATATATTCCTTGTAACGAAAACCATATCAATGCTTGATACTCATAAGTAATACTATAAGTTCTGAATATTCATGACAGATATTACTGAAAACTACATAAAGTGTTTTTTATTAACATTAACTTGTGAAGAAGAATATTATCTGGTTTTAATGTTTGTTATTTTAAGAATTTTTTGTGCTTCTCTCCTTTTCCAACAATATGGCTGATCTCTCTTCACTAACGAATTATGATTGTGTAGTTTCTATGCTAATTTTTTTAGTAAACTATTACATCACACTGAAAGCTTAATTGTTTTTTCGAAAATAATAACAGTATGTACAGTAAATTGTCTTAGTTACATAGATAGTATTATTAATATTGTTATTCGGAACACCATTATGGATTATCTCTATAGATATGTGTAGTAAATTATTATTACAACCCATAAAAATTCCGACATGATTGATATTGTAGGTGTAAATATTTAGTGCAATAGATAATGACAATTATGTTTCCCATTGACGAGTTACGTGCTCATGTACTTCTCTTTGAGCCGCAGTGTTTATACAAAGATTAATAATAAAACTAATTAGCTGCTCAAACAGACTATGTGATAGAAGGGTTTGAACCCGAAATCTATTTGTTAAAAATGAGCCATTTCCTTACCGACTAGAATAACATAACCAAATGTGATGTCATTTTGTGGAGTGGCAATCATGGAGGTACTTTTTCTAGTTCAAACGATCAACCGAGTGGACTACCAACTTCTTCTCAGGAGAGAAAAGTGTTAATTTATAGACTAATAATTGTGTCGATACTGTTATCGTTAATAATTAGCTTTCTAGCAGTGAAATCGAAGGTGAACTAGTGTCAAGAACAACCGATTCACCTGATTGCAGTTGACAGGAGACTGACTAAGTGGAGAATATCAGAACTGCCCAGAACTATTTTAACAAACACAACAGTACTATTTTCAAACGCCAAAATTCAAATAAATAATATTTCCAAATGTTACAAGTCAGGTGCCAGATACCTAAATTCTATAAAGTTTGATTTTAGCAAAGAAGCTTCGTAATACAATGATCCAGATCAACCACCAAGTAATTATGGCTACCCAAGATAATCAGGACAAAGATTAACAAATTTACAATCATTTTGTCTTCAAATGGAGTTTATTAAAATACAAGTCTATGATTTGGTTAGAGATCAAAAAGCTATCAGTTCCCTGATGATTGACAAATCAGTATCCGTTGGTTCATATTTTCGTTTTCGTATAGTTTTTGATATAGAGCAGAGATCATCCAATTCAGTTTGTGCCAAGTCTCTCACACCTGATGTAGTTTAATTTTGTTTTTAAAACGTCTTGAACATCACAGACTCATTTCTAAATTAGTTACTAACTAACATATGATTATAGTTTGTTTTGAAAGTTATGAAAGTTTTGTCTAATTTTCGTCACAGATTGACAAATGTTGAAGTATTATTTATCAGCAATAAAACTTCATATTTACCTAGATATCCAATGTGCTTAAGTCAGTTAATCAGAACGATTATCTAATAACAATATTTTACTGAATGAACAGAAAAATGTCATAAAAGAAAACAGAAATATTTTTAACTTCTTAGTTATGAAGTACAACTCAGAAACAATAAGACGTTTCGGTTAATATAAAGAGCCAATATTGAACATAACAATATCGAACTATTTTGTGTTAGTTTCTGTGTTTCATAGAATGAGACGTTGTCAAACTCACAAAATAACATTATTTCTAAGACTTAATACAATGCAATAAAATGATGTTGTGTTGTGCGCCCCTTATGCGGACAAACATAAGTACTATATAGCAGGAATTGGGAGTGAAATGCTTACCAGCAGAAGATATTATGTACAGAGAAGAGGAAGGAAAACAGTTAGCAAACGGAATAACAAGAGGATTAGAAGAATGATGAAGGATGTAAAGGACAACTGAAAGATGTGTAGATGATATATATAATGTTTGATTTTCATAATTTACAAAGGCACTGTGTAATTTTGCATTAAAACAGAAATTGTTTTACCTCACCAAGTCTTTATTCTCTACAAAATGAATTACAAGACTACAGTTAGTGTTTTTTAAGCCTAAAATATTTAAATGGAATATGCGGAATAGCCACTGCATTTGCAATTATTTAAAATAATTGAATTCCAATGTAAAAACTGGTTAATGATATACATATTTTCAATGAAAATGATTTAGTACAATCATTTCACATTTTTCAACGCTACTCGATTTATTGTATAATTTCAATTGAGATCATGAACCAATCAATGTTAAACCACCAATGAAAACGTGAAAGCACTAGATGGTCGTTTTGTCTTAGTATAGGACTCCTCAAAAATGTGTATTCGTACTAGAACAAAACAGCCATTTAGAGCTTCCAGGTTTTCAATGGTGGCTTAACATTGATCGGTTCATGATCTCAATTAAAACTCAACAATCTCCACAGTCCCATAGTGATAATATAATATTTGTCGCATCCCAATCACCGAATAGACAATTGATAGATATTTGATTTGCAATCTATAAATAATTTCGAGTTCATTCTGAACTCTACACCGAACTATTATGAAACTCTTTGTTCCAGTTCAAATGAAAATTTTTACAAAGTTCCACTTTATGTGTTACCATAATTTCCTCCTTTAAAACCTTCTTTTTTACAATATCTATCCTATTTTCCTATTTTCAGGTTAGTTTCATTGATTTTGTGTGTCACCCATTATGGGAAACATGGTGTGATCTAGTACACCCCTGTGCTCAGTTAATTTTAGATACATTAGAAGATAATCGTGACTGGTATGAATGTCATACAAAAGAATCCAAAATAAAAGTTACTCAGTTAGCTCGACCAAAATTAGCTACTGCCGCAGAAGATGATGAAGAAATTTCTACAACTTCAGGAAATACATAAGTTTTATTAGTCAATAATTATTGAGAAAAAGATGAACGGGAAGATGAAATTAAATATAGGATGGCAAATAATATACAAAAATAATGTAAATATTCAGATAATATGTCTTTTAACAATCTACATTACACTAATATCCACCCAACCAAAATGAAATAAGTATAATTGTCAAATATATTTATTGATAATAAATATTTTTTACATTAGAAAAATAATAAACGATAATCAATCAAAATATATTAACTTTCTAATGTAGGAACCATTCATATGATCATAATTGTTATTGATTTTGACGAACAGATGAATGAAAAACAAAGAAGTGTTTTATTGATTATTCAATTATGTCATATAATATATTTTCATCTCTTTGATTTTCCTGATATTATCTAACTATTTATTCATGTATTCATTCATCCACTTATCTATTTTACCTTTATTTATGGATATATATATATATATATATATATATATATATTAAACAAGATACTTAAATGATTCAATAACGTTTAATACATTTATGAATTCAGTTACTTTTGTGAACTAAGAAACATAAATAAATGAAAAAAAAAAGAAAGATACTTTACATGTGCAAAAATTCTACCCATTGAAAAGAAAAATACAGCATCTGTTTTATTTTCTAATTTTAGCAAATGATTTCTCTCATTTTTGTACTTCTTAAACTAAACAATTTGTGTTTCTACAAATTTATACAGGAGACAGAAATAATAAAATGTGCACTGAAATCTAGAAAGCATTTCATTTTAAAACAGATATGGTGGACATGTTCTTAACTGCCTAATCTATTTGCCCTGTCATTCCCTTCCATACTTACATTTCATTTATCAGTATGGTTATTTTATTCATTTATGTTTGTTTGTTTGTTAAAGATTTTCTGTTGCCTTTTTATGCTTTATTTTTTCTTAACAAAACACACATACATTAAACATTGAAATGATATTTTCTTTCTCTCTCAAATAAAGTTTGAAATTAAAATTAATTAAATTCATAATCAGAAATGTCGAATAACTACATTTGAAAAATATTGATCCTAATAAATAATACTGAGAAGCTCGGTGATATGGAGCTTTTTATTATTTTATTTTGATCTTGATTAATTATCCCTATAAATTATCTATCGGCAATATGAAAATTAAAGACTGAAATAATCGCTTAAAAGTATATTCATTAAATTATCTGATTAATTAAAGTTATTATATTTCCATCAAAGTTTTCATCAACGTTTTCTCCATCTTTCAACTGTCATAGCGCCTACTGCCTTGTGTATATTTGTTAATATGTTCACGTGATCGTTTCTTTCAAAATGTTCAGACAATTGTTTTTCACATACGCTGATAGTCACAGCCTAATATATAATGGATTATATAATGGTGTCTCTTTTACAGTCATGTTTTTTAAAGTATATATAAATGTATATGTATGTATATGATGTAATCTATCTACCAATCATCTTATAGATGACTTGCATATCGATCCTCTTTAACGGCTAATTTAAAATACCGATCGATAATTATGTGAAAACGTAATTTGTATGTAGTTATCTTGCTAAATGAACCGACAGAATATTCTGTACTTTAAACATAAATAATTATCAAGATAATCTGTGTGGATTCTAGACAACTGATCGCTTCTTTCCGATTCTATGACCAAAAAAAAAAAAAGAAAAAACATTATGATGCTTGAAAAATTTCTTTTTTATCCTTCATGATAAAATACTGCTTTGTATTTCATTTTTAGAATAACCGAAATGTGTTTCCCTCCCTCCTTCTCTTTGCATGAATGTGCCTGTTTCTTATAATCAGAAATATTATTATTGTCATTCATTCTGTTTTAATAAGATTTGATTGTTGGATCGATATTTTCATTGGTAATCCATACATTGTGAAAATGCAAACAAATAAAAATGGAGGGAAACAAATATTATTAATGATGGCAACCATTCATTTGTATTTGCATGCAATAAAAGAATACTCATCAATATAATTCATCGTTTATTGTATGATGTTTATCCGTTCCTCTTCAAGGCAATATACTTTATTAATTAAGTTAAAAATTAATAAATTGTTATATACAAATAAAGCAATTCAGTGGTACAGTCATTATAATGGTAGCTTAATATAAATATTATGGAATGTTTCATAACATATGACTTATCAGGTTGAAAACAAGGATAAAACAGAGGTTCAGAGCATTAATAATTCACAATCAACATCGGTCGATGACGAAAATCTCTTTTCTTACTGAATTAATCTTCATAATCTAGATAAATCATTGTAGTCAATAGCGATTAGCTTTGGAAAGTGATAGCCAAAATCCTGGTTATTTTAGACAAATCGTGGAGTGAAATAGTCATCTCTTATAACTTTGAAAAACAGTCTATGTTATGTTATGAATTACTTAATATGAAGAATATAAATCAATAAGTCCCAAGCATGTAGTTCAAAAGTAAATCACTGTCGAGGAAACTTGAAATCTTAGGTACAGTCTATGGTGGTATCATTATTATTTATCACTAAGTCTTGAAGCAGAACGGAGCGGCTGTATAGTGCTTCTTGGTTTTCAATTATTCTCTTATGAATATTAGTTTGAATAGCGTTCATCTTGATATCAAATATATCTGTACAATAAACACAACTACATGATAAATAACTAAATATCTTGTAAAGCTAGTCAACACAAAGAAACCAGAACTTTTATTTAGGTAATGTCCGTAAATAATGAATTTACGCAAGTTCGTTCCATAGTTCGAATAAACACAGAATATAGATACTCGGGCTCCGTAATAAATAGAAGATCTATTCAATGAAAGAGTCGAAATTCTGTAATTTTCGTTTGATGTATAATTAATTTTGTGTTCCTTATCCAAATTTTATTGGAGTTTTATTTATTTACTACAAACATGTTTACTATGAATTTAGGTAGATTTTGTGGAAATTCTCTACAATTTAGAGGTACCTAAAAATTTATCTAGTGCAATAAAGAACAAGTGTGTGCAGTACTTAAGTATACTTAATTGTTTGTTGATCATAAAGAATAATATGCTTTGAGTTGGTGATGAGCGTGTCTGACAAACAAGTCACAATAAATATGTGGTGGTTTTATTTCAAAAATGAAAAATGTAATAAGTGGTATCTAAACGAAATACCTTGTTACTCTATGATAGACTTATAAATGGAATTTAGTATTAGATGTATATTTTAAACAGAATCATACATTTTTGAACATCATGAACTGAATCACAATTTCAAACAATACGATTAGTGATGAGGTTGTTACCTAGACCAATATGTTTTATCAACCATTTACCATTAACAGTAATAATAACAAGCTCAATCTCTTGTATTGGACGCTTGCCCTTCTCATGATACCAAGATAGACCCTAAGACCCACGTGGTCACGGTTCCCCACGAAAGCGCATCCCCGCGATGGGTTTGTGAGCCTTGAAAACACGAAATCCATTCCAAAAAGGCCTACATAAGCCTCTTTAGAAAAGTCTTTACCAACTAATCTGATTAGAACAACACCACCACCACACCACGCCAGTGATTGGTATCAATTTCACAGTATCGTTATTTAACTGGACTTGGACCAGCAACCCTCAAATCATCAACCTCAAGGTTAAGGGTTTGCTGCAGGATATGATGGTCGTAAACTCAGTCATTGGAGGCGCCATGACTATTTACTGTTAAGAAATGTCACAAATGGAGGAGATCATTTTCTATCATCCTCGGTTGATCTTCAAGAGACTTAAATGACAATAATTCTTGACGAATGCGACATTCGAATGTAAATAATTAAGACTAACTCCTTCACAAATACATTTATTTATTCAGCTTATAAATTGCTACTATTGATCCAAACCCATTTCAACATTCTTACTCTTTTTTGACAGAAAATGTCTTCTCAATGTTGTTGTTGAACTGATGTCTTAATGTTTTCAGCATAAATGATCGTACGGGTCTAATAGTTAAATTCATGAAACAATTGATGCTAGACCACCATGGAAAACCTGGAAGCACTAGACGGCCTTTTCGTCCTACTATGGGGCTTCTCAGCAGTGCGCATCCACGATCCTGCCTCGTTAGATTCGAATCCAGGACATATAAGTCTCGCGTCTAACCACCACGCTACCTAATCAGCACAATCAGGTAGTGATCGACATTGATGTGACACACTATTTCACCCGTTTTGTAAGAGAACATGAAAACATTTATTGGATAAAACGAAATATTATTACCAATAAGGATACATATATAGATATTCACTTGATATTCTAAATATTTTTTCCTTAAAATTTATAACTGTAAGGTAATTTAAAACTATTTCTGTTGATCTCTCTTTTTAATAAGCTTTCTAGTTACCCACTTAAAACTTGACTTCTTTACATCAGATTTATGAGATATTAGTTAGAATATTCCAACGACTTTGTTTGATTGTTCATTTCCGGCTTTTAATATCATACAATGAAAAGGCTTTTATCATGTTTATGGAAAAATATTT